ATCGTATGGGAAATGTAAAAGTTCCGCTAAAACTCATTTTAGCTTTAAGGAGCACTACCCCAAGCAACAAGTGCAAAGTACCACGCACGAATTCCTCAAAGGGCTCAAGTAAAGTAACCGCTCTGGTGTAATACATTTTCGTGTTCAATTAACTCCGTTTTAATGCCGCCCCTTTTGCTCTCAGTTGCCTCTCAGTATCAAGTTTGTATTTTTTTTATGCTGAATCGTCACCAACTTTACAGACGCGGCTACTGCGGCAGCCACAGCTGAAATCGCAGTGTTGAATGAGGCGGTAGGATCTGTGGGTCTCGTAGACGACGAGGACGACGATTTTGTTCCGGCTGGTGGTGAACTGTTGGCAGATGATGAGAGTGTTGCCATCTACCATCATGACCCTTCGGCTTTAGGCAACATAATGGACGAAGAAGAGGAAGGAGAGATCTATTAATTTCCTGCTCCCTCCTCTTCAAGTGACTATTCTTGGCTTGTGTATCAATGTAATTGACTAGTCTTTCAAGTTAATATAAATATTCCCCTTCGTCGCTATCGTTCTTCTTTGCTTGTTTTTCGACGCTTTGTTATATTTTCCAAAGCGGCTGCTGAGTAATACGCCAATTGCCATCATGGAAAGGAAAAGCTCTCATTAATGCAGAAAACTTCTTGCATTTTTTGCAGCAGTTCGCTGCAATGACTTGCTGTGACGTGCGTGAGCTTGCGAAATGGGCGCTTTTGTTTACATGCACGTATTATGAAGCGTAGGTGGTTGTTGGTCCATTGGTATGATTCTCTTTAACGTTTTCCCCACTCTCTCCCCGTTTTTGGGACTCTCAATTCCAAGGAATATAGCGTCGTTGTTTGTGGAAGTTAGTGGCAGAGATAAATTGGGCGACATTGCGATCTTGCATAATTGTCAACTTTCATGATCACGTATAACAACGCGTTTTCTTGCATCCAATACCAAAAGTGTTACAGAATTCGTGCGAAGTGTTTTATTCTGCTATTTTTGATGAATTTAGGTTTGTAATTAGTATACTACTTCACTTTACTTTGAGGATGTTTGTCGAGCAAATGCGGAGGTTGGAATTGGAGTACTCGATTCCATTTCGAAATCAGGTTTCTGCCTATTAGTGCTGCAAGTTGTGCTGCCGATTTTGATGATCCGAGGTCTGTGCGGGAGTGGCCTGAATCCTCCTGAGCTTCCAACCGGATGGTCAATCAATAAGACCGCATAAGAGATGTCTATGGACCGGTGGATGTGTTAATTATTTGACCCTAGACTTGGGGTGATTGCTGGTGCACTTAAAGTGTAGCCGAACGTAATCTCAGCCAATCGGAAGGGGGGTGGGTGGGAGCGCAATACCTTTGATGCTTGGGTATCAGCTAAAATTGGATTTCCCAGAAAATCGGGCAGAAAAGCCGTCTGGAGGTGCAGGCACTCCCAGGAGTAAGGTGAGAAATGCTTCAGCCAGTCATGGTAAAAGCCCTCACGAAGATATAATGAGTAGTGTCATTGGATTATTGTTTTTGAAGCAAACTTGCCATCTATTCATAATTCGTGATAACGCGATGCATTGATGAAGTATGCTTAACTCCAAAAATGCAACTCCAATGCATATTTACATGTCACTAATCGGATTGCTTGCGATGTACCCCCTGTTGCTGAAATAGTAGTCGCCTCAACTCGTACTAATAGTTTCACCTTACTCTTTTCTGACTTGATAACACTTGCTTTCCCGCATATTTCGCCATGGGAGTTATGACCATTATGCAGAGAAAAAGGACTACTTTATGGAGATGATGACTGCTTCGATTGGTCTAAATTCAACCATCTCGTCTCTTCAAAATCATCTCTTGAAGTTTTCTGAGTAGGAATAGATCGAGCAGAGTACATCAACCAGCATAACATTGTACGTGTATCCTGTAGCTTTCCGTGGTGTTTTCGCACTCTCCATGTCAGAAATTTCGAATTTGCCCAAATCACCACGACTGTTTCTGTATACACTGGAAAGCGAAAGTCAATCAGCTTTTTATCAACTGAACCATTAATGATATTTGGTTTACTCTCTTTTAATCAGTCCGATGGATTGGTTCCTCCCACCTTCAATAACGCAAAAAATGGATGTGGATACGACCTGCTTATTCCGGAATTCCACCCTCCTTCTGTGCTCCAATGTTGAAGCTGAAAGGTAGGCTTTTGTCTCGTTTTCATTGCATATCTTGCTCCCTTACAGAACCACGCGTGACATCGTCTTTGAGTTGCTCCTGAATGTAGCCAATCGCGCTGCCTTGGAGGGTCGCTCTGTCTCTTACTTTCGACCCTGTGAATTGGTTTGTCTTAGCCAGTTCCATGTCCATGGCGCACCTGCTTGCGATTTCAATGCTTGGGACTCCATTCGATTCTTGTGCGTCGGGAAAGTTCCCTTTTTACATCAATTTCATTATGCTTGATGGGGATCTCTGGCCATGAGAATTACCACATTCCTACTCTTAATGTGCCCTAATGTTTAAAACATTGGTACGATTTGATTAATTAAAATTTTAATTCCCTTTTTGTTAAGTGAAATTTCTGCTAAAGTTTGCTAAGCATTTTTTTGTTTTTTTAGTTATCCTACAGAGGATTCCCTCGTGTGTTTCTTCTCTCAAATACACCTAGCTAAGCGTCTTCCAGATCTCATCGTTATTGAGCAGTTGGATCGAATAATAGGACACCACGTGGGTCTCGAAGTGCATTTTTTTCACTGTTCAGTGGGATGTTTCGCCTTTTGAAAACTTACTTCTTGTATACCTTGGATATGTGTCGCGGTTTTTTTCAAATGGTGCCAATTTTTCTGTTTGACTGTGGGCAAAATAAAAATTGCACCTTTTTTCCTCTAAGATCAGTGAAATATGGAATCAAATTCTGCACTTAATGTCTGGTTTTATCGGAATGTGTGTGTGGGTAAAATACGTGATTTTAGTCCATCGGATCTTTCTTAATTATGCAACGTAAGTGAAATTTTACGACTTTAATGGAGAATGTTGAAATGTTTGGTTGTTTTCTTGCCATCACTCTAACTTTTACTGACTTCATTTCTCCTGATTTCCAATTTACGTTGAGATTGTTTGGTCCTATAATGACAACTTGGTAGACTACTTCATAGTAAAGGTCTATTCGATAAACACCACTAGTGACAGGTGTACCTATGTGAATTTTTGCAACATTCCGTCCAGCGTGGGTTGGCTTATTTGTTTGTATAACTGGAGTGATGCACTTTATAAATATGTCTTAGCGTGACAATAGAGGCATTTGTTAATTAACTTTCTTTGTGTAGCGGGAGGATTTTCTAGCTAGACTGTACGCTCTCACTTGCCTCTTCACCGATGCACTCGAACACATTCATCAGCAGAGGTCATCACAGAACTCGGGTGCAGGGTGTCGTCTTCTGGTGAGCTGTTTTCTTCCCCAGACCCTATGGAATGGGCAATCGACGATCCCGAGATATCTCGTCCCCCATGGTCTTCACCAAGCCTGTCTTTTTGCCAAAGAGGGTAGAGCTATTTTGGTGGAATTTGGACCTTCATCCTTTCGCTTTGCGTTATGAAAACGCGCTGTGCATTTTTTTAGAAGTAGCAGGAAATGGTTAATGAGCTGGACGAAATTTCCATTCTTGCTGGACAAATGAAGACGCCACGTCACAAGACTAAGCCGTGAGAGGGTCTCATATCGCACTTGAGGATTATGAGGAGGGGAGGTGGGATATGCCGACCCGTTTTATCCTCAATATTTCCTTAGTCACATTTTACCGGGTGATGATTCTCATCCTCTCTTGGCGTTAGACGATTACTCAATCGCGTGAGAAATAGGAAAAATAGCTAGGAACTACAAATTAAGTGGCGAATGAGGTGCCTAGAGTTAGCTGTGACTACTTCAGGAGGCAAGTCGTTGTATCACAGCGTAGTTGCATGAACCGCGCGAGCTTCTCTGCCTACCTTGTGCCATAAGCTTGCTCTACGCGCAATTTATCCCCTATATTGTGTTGCACTCTTGTTTTGCCTATTCTCCCCTTCTAGACGATGAATCGCATTTCTCTCTGGCCGACTTCACGGGCGCATTCAAGTTCAGGCTTTTACTGAGGGAGAGGGAGATATTTTTCACTTCGTTTCTTTACGACACCAATCTGCTGACCTTGGTTCAACGAAAAAATAGCTAAGATTGGTTTTGTCTGCTTTGCCGTGCTGACCCCTTCAGTCTCCCACAAATCAGTCTCCACTCTTGCTTCATGAAATTCAGCCCTTATTTATAACCTCGGTTGTTGCATACTGTTACGAAAGATTTCTTTAGATTATCTGCCTTACAATGTCTTCAGGTGTGACTCGGGTACTACATTCGCGGCAGCGTGTTGCAGTATGCTTCTGAGGAAGGCCTGTGTCTAAAAGAATCGCCTGCCAAATGCATGTTGCAGAAAGAGCTAATTTTCCAGTAAACGTTCGATTCGTCCCTGACTGGAACTGCTAGCATTATTTTCACAAACATCAGTTGGGAATTTGGTATGTCAAGTGTACTGAATGACAATCCAGATAAAACATAGAGTAGGATTAAAGCGTCAAGGCACCGCCATGTATTGCGTACTGTATTAAACATATTTACTTTTGCAAGTGCCCCTCGTAAACAGGTCGGGGTAAGGTCTACACTCGGTGTGGGAGATTGTCCTATCTTAAGCGACATCTATAAATTAATCTCTTGATTAGTTTACTGACAGTATGGGTAGCGAACGAACGCCAAGGAACCGTAAGAAATGCACCAATACGTCTTCAAGAGTAAATCAAGTGATACAATTCTTACACCAGCTACAAAAAAACCTTGGGGGGGTCGCTGGTTGTGTTGACACAATGCGTAGGCGGCTGTTGCTACTAAAAGAAGTAACTAAGAGGGTACAAAAAATTAGTTGGAACGATGACATTGGTAATTTTTTTTATGACACATTGGATCATGATCTTTCCCGTCTTTCAAACCTAAATTTACAAAATCTATTTATGCTGTGCTCTCTTGACGATTGTATTTTAGCAACTAGCACAGGTTAGACTGAATTTTCGTGAGTCATTGTTGGAAACTTACAAAGTCACACTTTGGTATTTACGATAGCACCGCATTGAGGTGGACAAAAGGGGATCTGTAATCGCTTTGAGAAATTTGCTTTGAAATATTACCAATCTTCAAAAAACTAATGGAGAAAAGGCGTTGTCCACTAGTTACATGCAAACCGCTGGTAGAGTTGACAAACACAAGGTGTACCAGAGAAGTTCATGCAACCTCATCAGTTGAGGTAACCGACACTACCAAAATCAGACCTTTTTTTTCAAAGAGACACAAGATAGCCACGAAACTCACTGTAATACGACGTTTTGTCACCTGAAGTAAATGACCACACCTAGCCCCAGGCGCCTCATTCTCCACTTTATGTCTATTTCCCAGCCGTTGTCATATGA